GCAAATCACAGTGTGATTGGAATATTGATCAGTTTGTAAAGGGGTTAGACATAGAAACACTCTTGGAAAATTAGACAAACCTTTGAAATTCCTGTTTTAATATTTGCTTTTACTGGCAAAATGGACACATTATGTGACACAGTTTATTTAATTCAATTCAAGTATTTAATTCAATTTTAGTTTCCACTAAAACATATTATGATATATTTGGTACAATTATTACATGTTTATAAATGGTTTAGAATTAGTTTATTATGCATAAAATGCAGTTACAACACACAAATAAAAATGGTGACAGTGATCTGTTGTTTGCCTAATAGTGATCCCACATTTGTTTACATAGTTAAACCGCAGATCTTGGTGGTTGCTTATCTTACTTTGTCATCTCCATCAGTCTTCAATAAACCCATCAGCTTCATCAGATTTTAATGGTTATCAGATATAACAACTCACTTTTGCCATGTTTATTAATATGTTGTAACTGTTTAATGGTTTTAAGGTGTAGTGTAATTCTAAAGTGGTATCATATTTTTAGCTGTATAGAGATTAAAAAGCTGTTCAAGCAACACAAAATTGAACTGAATGAATCATGTTTGCATCACTTTATCACTAGATTTCATTACTGATCATTACAGTTAGCCCTGCCTTCGGAGTAAGTTTTAACATTGGTACTAGGAATATGTTTGGCTGAACTGTTTACAAAGGTAGACACTCAAAACAGGGTCTACCTTTTCATTTGTAAGTTGTTTGTATAAGTCCGTTATTGTTCTAACTCAAATATTATTAAAATATTTACAGTATTTTTTCATATAATTATTTAGCAAAAACCAAAATGTGTTGTGCCTCAATCTCTCAAATGTTAAATTATACATTACACTAACACTTTTAACATAAATCTTTTAAAAATACTTTTTTAAACAAATGTAACCTTTACATGTGTTTTCTGATGTATCTCTATAAAATGACTCTACTGCTTTTGTTATTGTTTCAGTTTCTTGTAGTATGTTGTGATCATTTGATCACTTTCAACACCAGGATATGTGTGTGTGCTGGATGATGCTCTCACACACAAACAAGACAGCACTGAATTTCAGTTAACTCTGTTTCGGGACTGTCCATAACACAACAGTGCCATCTCTTGACAAGACATGATAAAGGAGGAGGATTTAATGCTGCAGTTACAGACCCTCCTTCTGATTTCAGCACAGTTGGCCTCATTCACCATCTATTCTTCAGAGGAAATCTCTTCTTAAAACCCACTTATACAATTTCCATGAAGATTCTCACATTCACCAGTGTTTTCTTATTTGGGGTTTGTTCTTAGGTAAGAACAGAATCTACACACACTCAAGAGCACAAAGGTGAGAACAGTTCTGTGCTTTAATAACACATCATGAATCTGACATAGACCTTTTCTTAAGATCTTTCTCAAGAACACATTTAAGAACAAACGTAGGAACATACTGGAGAGTGAAGCCCAATGTTCTATTCTAAATCTTTATACTTTATGAATCAAGTTAAGTCAAAGTTTATTTACAGAGCAATTTTTACAACAGGTGTTGTCACAAAGCAGCTTTACAGAAATTCTGGGTCCAAGACTATGACTGTGAGGAAAGTCTTCATAATTGCACTTTATTAGACCTGCACCTCAGAGACTCAAGACTCAAATTTGTTTCCAAAAAAACAATGGGATGAAGTGCAAAATGTAAATAAAAACAGAATGCAATGATGTGCAAGTCATGTAAGCTCTATTTTTATTGGAAAATAATTCAAATATGACATGTCAAACGTTGAAACTGAGAAATGTTATTGTTTTTTGAAAAATATGTGCTCATTTCAAATTTGATGCCCACAACACAGGGGCATGTTTACCACTGTGTTTAATCACCTCTTCTTTTAACAACACTCTGTAAGCTTTTGGGAACTAAGGAGACCAACTGCTGTAGTTTTTAAGGTAAAATGTTTTCCTGTTGTTGCTTGATATATGATTTCAGCTGCTCAACAGTTCATCATCTCCTTTATGGCATTTTGCATTTCATAATGCTCCAAATGTTTTCAGTGGTGACAGGTCTGGACTGCAGGCACACCAGTTTAGCACACCGTTCCTTTACTACAGAGCACTGCTCCTGTAATACGTGCAGAATGTAGTTTGACAAAGTCTTGCTGAAATAAGCAAGGCCCTCCCTAAAAAGACGCCATCTGGTTGGCAGCATATGTTGCTCCAAAACCTGAATATATTGCTCAGCATTAATGGTGGCTTTACAGATGTGAAAGTCACCCCTGCCATGTGGATTAATGCACTCCCCATATCATCACGGATGCTGACTTTTGAACTGCTTGCTGATAACAAGCTGGATGTTCCCTCTCCTCTTTAGCCTAGAAGACACAGTGTCCATGACTTCGAAATTGAATTTCAAATTTTGAGTCATCGGACCACAGGACACCTTTCCATCTTAAATGAACTAAGGCCCAGAGAAGCGGGCAGCGTTTCTGGATCCTGATTATGTGTTTTCTTCTTCGCATGGTTGCATTGAGGTTTAACTTGCATTTCTGGATGCAGTGACGAACTGTGTTCACAGACCATGATTTTTTGAAGTGTTTCTGAGCCCATGCAGTGAGTTCCACTACAGAAACTTGTCTGTTTTTAATGCTGTGCTGCCTGGGGGTCTGAAGATCATGGTCAGCCAATGTTGGTTTTCCGCCTTGTCCCTTGCATACAGAGATTTCTCAATATTCTCTGAAACTTTTAATGATATTGTAGCAGCCTGCTACTGGCTGGTGCTGGCTCCAAGAAATTCTGGAGGTGTGGTTATGCAGACAGCGACACACGAAGCCTCCTGGTATACATGTGCCCACCTGAAAAGGGACCATTTATGTTGTTTGTATTGTCTGTTAGTTAAAAGTATGAGATATGTGTTATCGGTGATGTTCTGTGTCAGGGGAGTTGGTGTTTGTATGTGAGAGGGGGTCATTATTGGGGTAAAGTTTATGGTTAAAGATGACCTGTCATGGCCACTCCTATGTCTTACTCTCTGCTGACGTCACAATATTATACACCACAGAAGATGGAATTCCCAAGTTCATTGCATTTTTTTTTACACTGAGAAACATTATTCTTGAATTGTTTCACTATTTACCTTATTTACATTATTTACATGCCTCACACGTGAGTGGTGAACCCCTCCCCATCTGTACTTCCCAGAAATAAGACTCAGAAATAAGTAGTAAGTAAAAAGACTTCTTATACCAATTAACCTAATAAGTTCTGAGATGTTCCACCAGATGTTTTTTTAAGCATTACACAGCTTTACTGGTCTTTTGTTGCCCCGTCCCAACTTTTTCTAAACATTCTGCTGACATAAAATTTAACATGGGTATATATTTTTTCAAAAAACATATTTTTCATTTTCAACATTTGATATGGTTTCTTTGTATTATTTTCTATTCAATATTGATTTTAAATGATTTAGCTTAGACTCACACTCTGAGATTCAGACTTGCACCTCAGAAACTTAGGACTCGAGTTGGACTTGCACCTCAGAGGCTCAACCCAGACTCACACCTGAGAGACTCAAGACGCGACCCAGATTTCCACCTCAGAGACTCGAGACTGGACTTGGATTTATGCCTCAGAGACTCAAGACTCAACTTAGACTTGCACCTCAGAGACCTGACCCAGACTCACATCTAAGAGGCTCAATCCAAACTCTCACCTCAGAGACTTGACTCAGATTCGCGCCTCACAGACTCAAGAGAGACTTAACTCGGATCCGTGCCTCAGAGTCTCAATTCAGATTTGCACCTCAAAGCCTCGACCCAGACTTCCACCTCAGAGACTTGAGACTGGACTTCGACTTGCGCCTCAGAGACTCAAGACAGTTTGGGCTCACACCTTAGAGACTCACACCTCAGTGACTTGAGACTCGACTTGGACTCAAACCCCAGAGACTTGAGACTTAATGCAGACTCAACACTCACCAACTCATGACTTGTCTTGGACTCACACCTCAGACACTTGAGACTCAACTCAGACTTGCACTTCAGAGATTCGAGACTCAATTCAGGCTCACAACTCAGTGACTCAAAACTTGACTCGGATTCACACCACAGAGACTCAAGACTCGACTCACACTCTCACCACAGAGATTTGAGACTTGACTTGGACTCACCTCAGAGAGTCTCGCCTCAGATGTGCACCTCAGACACTTAAGACTTGTCTGAGGCTCACACTCAAGACTCGATTCGGATTCACACCATAGAGACTTGACTCAGACTTACATCTCAGAGACTTGAGAAACCTAATCTCTTTACCCACAGATTCTCTAAATTGAAGTGCGTTCTGTGCTGTATTTGAAGAGAGCCGCATACTGACTTAACCTTATAGTCTGCTTAATTTTCCAACTGCACTGAATAACTTTCTTGTAAAATTATAGTACTATTAATAACGTGTTTATTCCCATTTACAGTTTTCCTAATTTTATTTGCTCTGCAAAACACCAACAATATACAATTTTTATTCAACAATACTTTTGTTTCCTTATAAAAAAGGAAGTGGGGAAAGAAGCCTGTCCACATGAATAAAGGCTCTATAGAGCTAAACCATATGTATACATGAGTTAAGCATGTACATGATGATGAAGCATAAACCTACACAGAGGAAATAAACTGGAACTGCAGACAAATTTGTATTTGTAGAACTAATCTACATCTTATAGACGTTTGTAGAAATTCCAAGGGTAAGAACTCCCCAGGTAAAACTTACATCAATAAAGTTTGACAAATAACAATAAAATTAAAATATTTAAAATGTGCATTTGTTAGTAAATAAATAATATTCTGTGACTGTCTGAATACAACACCATAACTCCAAAAAGTAACAATACAGGAGAAGGAAAAGGAAACGCTCTGAACTTTCATTGTAACTTAATGAAACAAATTTTATTCTAAATCATTTTGGACAATTTCTACTTATATATTCCTCACAATTTACAGGGCAGCTGGCATTTTAAATTCATTGAAAAAGACAAAAATGGATTTACAAGGTTTTATATTGACAGCAATGATGTATAAAGACCTAACATAAGGCATTATTTAGGCATAAATAATGTATGACAATTTTTCCCACTTTCTCCACAACCTCCCATAATCATATATAAACATCTTCTTTAATAACAGAAAATAAATGTGTATGTTTATCATCCAATAAAAAAAAATAGATGAACTGTACCTAAATATTACCACAAAAATAAATCCCAAGAATGTCATACTATTCACTATGTGGTGAGGGTGGGACATCTTATCCTGGGAGGCTTCTTCCCCCATGTTACCCATTTTATATGTGCACTCCAAGCATCTAACCCAGCCCTTTGGCTGCTGTTATCTTCATATAAAGCATCAAATATGTTAAATAATATGGTAATAATATTCAGTAATATGCTCTTTGTTGAAATAAAGGTAGTTCAACAAACATCCAGGTCTGCTGGTGTGGGTGGGAGTTGGCTGCCTCTATGCGGTGGGATTGGTTATCTTGCCCATGAAGAGGATGCTCTTGGTGTTGTGATCCACAATGAAGACCAGGAAGGGTCTGTTGAGATTTATGATGGGTGTTCTAGACAAGGGTATCAGCTCCTCAGACGTGGCAGCAGCTGCTTCAGTGCCCTTCTCATCAACTTTGAGGACGGCCTGATGGACGACCTGTGGTGAAGTCCCAAATACATGCGAGGTAAAGGATTATCTCTAGATCTGTTTCTTTATCTAGTGTGCATTAAGAGTGCCTACAAAACAGCTTAGATCCCTCTACCTTGGAAACCTTCAGGTTGGTCTCTTCATTGATCCCGGAGAAGTCTGCACTGCTTGAGAACGCACTGACTATTCCCATTTCCATCAGAGTGTCCGCAAGTGAAAAGGAGGCAGAGATGGAGAACTTGGGCATGAAGAGTTTCACATAACTGCACAGCAGAACAGAGGAATCTTTCAAAGTTCTTAAAGTCACTTTATCACAAAATCATCATTTTGGGAGAAATGGAGAAAAAAATCTAACAGGTTAAAGGTTAAAATTAAAAAATGACATGATCTGCCAAAGATCTAGTTCCTGCACTACTTATTTGGTGTCGTTGAGGGGGATGGGTGTTGGGGCCTAAATCCTGTATATTTTCATACCATACTTTTATTAAAACAGCATGTGTTTCTGAGGCTATCACTTTGAAAATTACATTATATTGCAGAATATCAAGTGCTTCTCAAGCCCCTCTGTTTATATCTCCTCTGACATTACACTGAGCATTAAAGTACTTTATCATCTCATCACAGAGTCTGGTGGGTTTTGTCACTTAACATGGAACCATATATGGGATAAACAAAGGCTTATTACAATGCCAAGGTTTTGAAGGTTAGAACCTCCCTATTAGAACCACTATCATCTAAATGATGCGTCAGGCTCTCTAGACTCACAAACTGTCACAGAGTCTGGTAGCTTTTGTTGCTTAACATGGCCACAAACTGCCTGGTTTGACAAGATGTGGTCATTTGATTGGCATGCAAAACAATACATTTTCACATGATATGTAGGGACAGGCCATTGTCAAAATGGTGCTACAGCAGAAAGAGATCTTCAAATACATCTTCAAATAAAGCAATTAAAATAGCAGCAACGACGAATTGCGCGTGTACGACTTACTCAAATATTTGAGCTTGAAGCAAAAACCCTGGGTCGCCAGTGACTTAAAGTCTCTGCTGAACCAAAAGAAAAGAGCATTTATGGCAGAAGACAGGGAGGAACTGAAGAGGGTACAAAAAGAGTTTAAAACCGCAATGAAGAAGGCCAAAAAGCAGTACAAGTCCAAGCTGGAAAACAAACTGGAGCTGAATAACACTCGTGTTGTCTGGAGGGTAAGCATGAATGGGCGAATGGGTTTGACAATGGCTTCTCTCCAGCTCCATTGTGTCTGTCTCCTACACAGATTAACACACCTACACAACTATCCACAGCTTCACCTTCCTCCACCCCAGCCATTCACACCTGTGACTCTCAGCAACCACTGTCTGCAATGGACGCCTCTCACCCACCCCCGACAATTGGAATGTCCAGTGATAATACATTCACTAATGCTAATCAGGTGAAGAACGAACTGAAAAAACTCAAGCAGAGCAAAGCAGTGGGACCTGATGGCATTGAACCCAGGGTGCTGAAGCACATCTTTAATCTGAGCTTCAGCCTGAAGAGAGTCCCAGTTATGTGGAAAACATCTTGGTTCCTATCTCCAAGAAAAGGCAGCTGACAGCACTGAATGATTATATACCGGTTGCACTGACATCT